TATATTACGATTTACGAATATTTATTTATAATAAATACATAATATTTTAATTTTTGTTTGTAAGAATTAAACTATTACAAAGTTAAAAATAATTTGAGKATAAAATTCTAGCTGATTTATTTGACAATAATTATACGCTAGGTGTCCTTAAATTCAAATCCAAAAAAGAAATGTATTTAGTAGGTAAATGAAGCGTTAAATCGATAATTATTACTAAATTCTATATTAATTTGCTATTTGTACCTAATTAATATAAAGTTATTTCATACACACGCAACGTGCTTCAAAATTCAAACATTAAGTTCAACTTATATTTATATTTGATTAGGAGATCCTTGCTCTATATTGTATGTATAGTTATTTGCGTAATGGTGGGGCAGGCAGCAGGTAAAAACTATATATTTAATATAACATAGGTGATAATTTATGTGTGAGTCTTCTTATTTGTAAATCTATAGGTTGAAAAATTATCCAACTTCAATAATTGTTAATGTTAAATATGGTTCAAAAGATTCTAAATAAAACAGATTTATTTTTGTATATATATGGTTAAATCTTTTCGATATTAATCCACATATTCTTAAAAATGATTGATCTAATATAAATATATCGATAGGTAATAGGTATATCGTAGGTTATTCATATTAAATAATGCATATATCTTATTGTGTTAATTATAATATTATAAATCAATAATCATAAGGTGGTAATACACTATATTACTGTTTTCACAACAAAAGTAGTAACATTTTGTATATTTTAATAATTGTATTAGTTATTATAATATAGTAGGTACTTACTAAATTACTATACTTATATATTTTATATTTTTCAAGTGTTTTGAGGCTTTTTAATATGTATCTACTTATTGTATAGTTTTTATTAAATGTTTTGTGAATTTTTAATGTCTTAGGTTATAATTATTTAAATTTTAGTGCTCACAATGGTCGGTACGTCGTGTTTGTTTTAAAATCGTAACTGCACGCAAGTATAATGGTATAACTGTTTTTGATACTAGATTTTTAACATTTTGACCGACTAGGTATATTATATTGCTTTAAAATTTTATTTTTCGTCACGCGTCACTATATATATCGAGCGCCGAGGTGAGCCGAAGCGAGACGCGTTGGCCAACACCCGGTCATTACAGTGTCATGAGTGGTATTTTTATTTACATTTTTTTTACTTTCAAACATTTATGGTTGGTTGTATTGCTTAATTCTAAATTGTTATTGGTTTCCACTTCCTGATGTTCCTTTATATTCCTCATATTTTGGTGAATATATTACAATTTTTTTTACCGCAATCACACCTAGCAATACATTATAGTATACATAGTTTAATAGGTTTAAAATAAGCCAGTTGTTTCATGTAATCTAGCTGTCTGGAAAAGATACATACAACCTACTTATATAATATATAATATATAGTCATATATTATAAAATACATTATATAGTATGTAGGTACCAACCATTTTAATTTATATCTTATACATCTATTTGTATTGTAGTTYGATACGTTAGATTACAATACGGACTACGGGGACTAACCGGAAAAGTTATGATTTTTCATTTAGGTATATACGATTACGCAGCAACACTCCCCCAGTAATAATACAATACGTATTTTTTTAGCGGCTTTCTGTGGTTAGTATTCGGTGATTAAAATAACCGAGCACAAAACCATTTCGAAAACTATTGAAAAATTGTCAAAATTTTATATCTTGAAGATTAACTCAATGTAATTTGAACATTTTTTATTGCCTTTATAAGTAGGATGAAATCCATGGAAAACTAACGAACTGACTAACATACAAAAATTCGGACGAATTATTAATATCGATTTTTATTAATTATATTTAATAGACAATTTAAGTTTTGATGGATAAGAGGATTGCTGTTTCCTGAAAAAACGTATGGCACTAATTTAAACTTATAACCACTTTATTAATAGTTAATTCAATACGTGTACAATGTACATACTACATAATGTTATATAAATATATTATATATATAATTGGGATTTTGGGGCTGGATATTTGAAGTTATAAAAAGTCGCAAAAAATGGAAAAATAGATTTAGTTAAAATAAATAATCATCTCATAATCTCTTCTAAATATTCCATTGAAACATAATCATTAATCATATTTCATACTACTTTAAGATGATATTTATTTTGTTTTAAAAAAAGTAATTATTTTATCAGTAAGTACCTACACGGTAAACTAGCATCTCAGATTTTCTACAACACTCGATAGTTTACAGCTTTACGGCAATATCTACAATAGAGAATCTGTGAACTGACATTACTATMATCATTTATCACCTATTAAATTTAACAAAAGTATACGGCTACTAGGCTACTAAATGGTATTTATTCAAATCTTTGTTAGGTAACATATCTTTGTAGGTATTAGATAATRGGTATAATAGTCAGACGTAAAAATGGGAGTTRCCTTTTGGCCGAATGGTTCCCRTTTAAAAAAAAGTATTTTATTAGATAGAGTCGAATTTTTGTGTTTAGGTCAAATAGTTAAAATTTTAAATAATTGGTACATTATATAAATATAAACTATATACTATAAAATATAAAGATGTACTTATGTACTTATGCTCTACTTGAAATATAAAAAATAAAATAGAAATTTATTGTTGTATTGCAGTTTTAGCTAATTATCACTGATACCCCGTTCGATTAAGATAACGATTGAGATATACGTACTTATAAATTTACTACCAACAAGAAAAAATGACCAATACCTAGAGAATTGTATGGCTGAGTATATTGATGAGAAGCTTTCATGAATTGAATTGRATATTTAAACTTTAAAGAACGTTTGTTTTAAATTTAGAATTTACCAATAAACGACTTTAAATTGTAATTACTGTATTTAATTATTTTTATTTTGCCCCCCTATAAAAGTGATGACTAGTTGACTTCACTGATTTTAAATTGTGTGTATTATATATTTTTTTGCACACATTTTTAACCAAACCTACTTTGAAGTTACTTCTGGAAAATGTGCGTAATTAAACGGGAACCAATTCGGATCTACCATACAACCCATTTTTTATATGGGAACCAATTCGGTTAAACTTAATAAAATACCTTTTTCAAACGCGTACCAATTCGGCATGAGAAATTTAGGCTCGGCCGTTCGAGAACCAATTCGGTACCAGCCGTAAAAATGTAAAATAGTATTATTTGAAGGTACCTAGTAGAGGTAAACCAGTAAATAAACATTAAACTCTATTGATTTTGTATGAATGTATTTTGTACAATAAGACGTAAAAAATATAGTATTATAAATATGCCATATTATAAGTCTTATCGAAAAACTAATTAAAAAAAATATGGTTTTAGGGGGCTTGAGTCCTGTTAGCCCTCCTCCTCACTGATCGCCCCTATATACAGTATAAACGGCTACGTTCGCCATCGACGACAGAATTCGAAACGCGCACCGATCATAGCGACGATGATGACGCGGACGCGTGTTACGCGCTTGCGCTATTGTGTACAATAATAATATTAGGTAATATATCATACGTATGGTAACGTGAAGCGCCTGGTCCACGTGCGCACTTTTCGCGGTTACCGGAACGCGGTCGCTCGCGCGCAACTACCCTCGGCTTCAGCTGGGGTCGTGGGCCACCGTACATCGAGAACGTGTATAATATACGCCACGTCGGCCCCGACGCGGATGCTGCGTGCGGATCGCCCAGCCGCTGCTACAGCTGCCGCCGCCGCCGCTGATCAATAAACGGCAGCAGCGCGCCCCCGAGAGTTCGGACCGCCGGCCACGCTGAGCGACTCTGAGGCGTAGTGCACGCGCACAGCGCGCCGCCCGTAACTCCGCCAAACGAGAATGATGCCTTGCCGAGACCTCCGCGCCGCCACCGCCCCGACCTTGTCCCTCCAGCCCGTTATTATGGGCGCTTGCCGCCGCCGCCGTCTCGTAGTCGTCGTCGCCGCCGCGGTCGCCGCCGTCGTCGTTCTCCCGGCAATATCTCTCTGGAGATAATATTTTAGAGGTACGTGTGCGCTCGTGTGTGTATGTGCGTGCGTACGCGCGCTCGCGTATCTGTGTTTTCGGTGAGTGCGCGAGCCGTAGCGTACGGACGGACGGATCTCGTTGACGAATACAATAATAATAATAATWATTATTATTGTTAGGTATATCCAATAATCATACGCCTATGCACACCAATACATAAAATATAACAAAACATAATATTATATTTTAATAATATCATGTGATAATAACGTGGCTTTTTTCATCATTAGACTTAGATTCCATATAGTATACGAAAATAACAATATATCGCTACCAAGACGGTCATCGTAGAGTATAGCTTACGAAACGTTGTAGATTTTGARAGCGCGTTCGGATATCGGAGTAAAACGTAGCTGTCGTCATATTATTATTATTATATTATTGATATATTATACTTACAATAACATATTTTTATACTAAATTAAATTATACTGTTGGCCGTCGCACTGGGATTCTACGGCTCAAGTAAGTTATATCTACATAACCATGTACACATCAATACATCATAATATTATATGTACTTATCCCGAAGTATTGTGAAGTATACTTTTGTGTTTGGTATTCCAACAATATTTTTAATTTTTCGTTCAATTTATTATCATAATCTCCTTCTTTAATGTTCCTAATGTATTTTATGCAAAATTTAAAATTATTTTTATTTATAACTACTAACTTCCTATGAGGGATATATGTTATAAAAAGTAGTATATTTATTTAGTATTCTACAAATCTTATGAATAGATATTTGTTAAATGTATTTTTTTAAATAAATATTTTGAATTTTGCCTCCAAATACTAAAAGCACAATTTTGAATGATGGATTGTTTTCATGATTCGTGAGTACTTAGGACCTATCTGATGTTGTTATAGGTGTTGTTAAGTATCCGTATTATTAAATCTAATTTTCAAATGAAAAAAAATAAAAACAAAACATATTAAAATTACTTATTTAATACATTAATTTTAGAAGAGTCTGTCAAATACCTAAATATGTATATTCTATACATATCTCATTGTGATCATTCTATAATATTTACACAARCATTCTCATTAAAATTATTTTCTTTAATCGTGAATTTATTCATTTTCAGATTTTTGCAATTTTTAAACAGTCAAGTAAAGTTTTTAAAATAACCATTTCATCGACGAAACTAAAAAAAATAAACTAAAAAAAAAAAACTAGAACTAAACATTAGCTTTAACTTATTTCATAATTGATACGTAAGGATTATTGACGGCATACTGTTTTTATAAATTATTCTATACAAAGCAATAACTGTTATAGGTATTTGGAATGAGCTTATAGATGATAATTAGCATCTTTTGACRGAGCTACTTCCCACATACCTTCTAATTGTGGGTTTTAATAATTATTGTATGCATCAAACGAATATTGTTCCTTTTAGGACTATGGATCAAAATGTAATCTATGTCCTCTTTAAAAATACTCACTCTTAATATTTTACAATATTTCTAAAAGTTTTTGTGTCAAGCTGTTGCTTATCCCTTTATCAATTAAAGCTGTTTTTATGTAATAAGTAAGTTTTTGCTTATATTAATTAGTTCATAAAAAAAATAATTTGTGATAATTGCATTTTATATTATAGTTGGTTTTAGTTGTGCAAAGAAATATTTATAAAATTTATTTTACTTTAATTTAATGAATGTAGATTTTAATTTATTATGTTATAAATAATTTCGAAATGTAGGTAATTTATTATTATTTTATAGATACTAATTATAAACTATATATTCTTTAGAAATACTTTCAAAAAGTCAACAATTTATAAAAAAATTAAAAGTCTACACATAAAAGTTCAAATAAAATATACTTTAAAGTGATTTGAGAGTTTCTTGAAATTTGAATAAGTCGCATAAGATAATACTGATGATTCGACAAGTTTTAGAAGTACTGTAATTCAAAATTAATTTATATTAATATCTTGAAGTATAGGATATACCATACTTGATTAAAAATATATACCTATAAGTATGATTAGTTATGATTGTAATTTAGATTGACTATTAATAATTAATCAACTAACTAAAAAAATAAATATACAAATACATTTAAGTTTAAACTATATTATTTAATTTACTATAAATAGGATTATAATAATTAATTATTATCGTACATGACAAAATTAAAATTAAAATTAACAAATCACCTACTTGAATCATTTTAATGRACGATACTATACATCGATGAAAATATTTTTTCCAATAGTTAATAGCAGAAATTAAAATTATGAATTTGTGTATCGAGAACTATAACTTCTTTATAATTTTTAAAATATGCATTATAAAATAAATATACATATGTCATATAGTTGTAAACATGGGGATTTACCGGAATTACTCTCACTTTTTCATTTAATAATGAAATTATTAAAATTCTGATCTTTGGAATTATTAAAGATACTCAAAGAACATAATATTTTATAATTTTTGACATTTTTTGTACAAAAAGTGTCCTGTTTGCGATATAAATTTCTGTTTTTAAAATAAGAATAAAGATGAGAATAAAAAATTGTAAACAGWGGTTCTTAAAAATAGCTTTAAAAAAGATATAAAATAATTAGATATTTGGATGTATACTGTTTATTATATTTGAAACATTTGTAAAAATTAATAATTATAAATGTTGACAAATTAATATAAATTACTAAAATGTTCATCTTCCCATAGCTCTCGTATCTCCAAACCCATTATTACCATAGTCTATTGGTCTTATTATTCTTAGTGCAGAAAGTCAATAAGTTAAAACTTACCCGTTTAAATCTTGATTTTAGTATGTCAAAATGTTCAGAAGAATTTTTCACTAGATAATTTGCAGTAAAAAAAAAGGAGATTCTTATTTAAAAAACAGAAGTTTGTATCTTCATTCTCCACAGGATACTTATTAACAATAACAAAAATCTCAACAATTTGTATTTAAGTATGTTTAAAAATTCCATAAATCAAAATTTGAATAAATTCATTATTAAATAAGAAATGGGGGATAATCATRCTTGGTGAATTACCATGTACATAATTCCACGCCATCTATAAGTTAATTTTTTTGTCCGATACATTTTTAAAGATTTTAAAACATAAGTAACTTATACGCAAAAATAATAACTTTAATTGATATTTATAACAATACAAAAACTACAGTTGTTTTGGAAACACGATGCATTAAATATTTCAATTGTATTTGTATCAACGTGTGTGAGAGAACAGTTATCAAATTAAAGAATCGATATTTGATTATACACCTACATGATTATGAAATTCGTATTTATAGCAATATAACAATAGTGAGAACTCAAAACATTAAATTATAATTATACTATGCATTATTTGTTTTATGATTTATCTTCAATCTGTRTACTTGAATTAATTAAATAATTATATCTTAAATGGAAATGGACAATTCATATTTTTGTTTCAGGAATAATTTAGCAGGCTATGCCCCGAATAGCTGCAATCTACGACCAATATGGCTGAGAATTCTGATTCAGATTGTGAGAGCGACAGCGACAACGAAGAGGAAGAAGAACTTCAATTTATTATAAATTTTTTAGTATCAGGGTTGTGTTTAACACATATTGGCCTGATATTATTATAATTTACACCATGGATCTCAGTGGATACGTACTAATACTCAAAGAAACTGAAGATAATAAAGCCAAGCTTTTAGGTAAGTTAGCCTAGTCTGTTTTATTTTACAAACATTTATTTAATGAGAATGGATTAAAATTAATTGTTTCTAAATGTTTTCTGTGATTCTATAATAAACAAAATATTTTGATGCGTTGCATTTAACTTTACATAAAACTTTTGGATAATTTTCTCTCACTTTACCATCGTAAGATATAATTATTGTTGTAAAATTATTTATTATTTTAAAGTATTTCTAATTTCTTATTCATCATATTCAAATAACGATTTTTAGTGCAAGATACTAGCTGTCAGAGCGGTTTGTCTTTTATTAATTGCTCATATATTTTGTGCATATCAAAATATAAGCAAGAATAATCCATAATAACTAGGGCTCGGATTTCATTGTACTTGTATCTTTTTTTGGAACACCTTATTAAAGCTACTCGTCATGCAATGTTTCAAATACTCCGCGTTTTAACTACAAAATCTTGTTGGGTCATTTTTGATATATTTACCATATGCAATATAATTTATTTTTATTTCGAACTCAACATCCAGTTTTAAATTAGACAAGGCTGAAATTTATTTCACATCATATAATTAGCCAATTTGATTGCATACAACAAACAACGTTTTCTTATCGAGCGATAATATTATATCGGTGATTCGTATGGCTAATTTTCCGACGCTGTAGCCTTATTTTAATTAATAATACATTTATTGATATTTTTTGATATTTTTAGGAAATTTTTTAGAGTTTTAAAGTCATATATTATGTATTTATTGGAAGGACATTTTCCGGTTTATTTAAGGGAATTTATATCCGAGGCTCTAATGGCTCTCATTATAACTATAGTATAATGTAATGTTAATTCCTACTATTATTCATAGTTTATAATTGCCTATAGTTAATATTATCAAAATTATTATAAGCTCTTAAATTATATACCGAAACAAATGCATTTAAATACGATATCTAACTTTTTTCTCAGCAAATAAGTTCTCTAATAAAAATAAATTCAAAAAATATTTTACTTTAGTCAAAAATTGAAACAACTTTTTTTTAACAATATTAGGTACAATACGTAGGTAATATTAATTTATGTTAATTAAAATTAATTGCTTGATTAAGGATCAAAAGTCGACCGCGCAGATTTCGAAACTGGTGATGAAATATTCGCAATTAATGGACAACAAATTGCAGAAATGACTCGCGACGATTTATTATCTTATCTCTACCAGGTGAGTTATTAAACAATTTAAAAACATCGTAGGTGCTAGTGGTACTACACAATAAAAAATTTTTAAATTGTACTGAAATATAAATACGTTGTTACAGTGTATTGTTACAAGAACCATATGCATGAATTTAAAACCTCGAGTAAAAAAAGGTATGTACATTCATATACCTATTTGTATAATATATTCTATACTTGCTGTATTTTATTTATATCTTAAGTATTTGGACACTTTCGTTAGTTTTCTGAAGTATTTAATTGCCCGAACGCATTTTACAGAATGGGTTAAACAGTTAGGCTGACAGGCAGCATAATATATTAATATATGTTTTACCGTTTCTTTGTGCAGGTTACGCTAGTCTATATAAATAAAAAAAAACTGAAAACACTATACCCTTCCTATATAAACTTATATATTATGCTCACTGTTTTCATTATTTATGTTGGGATGTGCACTGCACTATCTATGGTGTAGTATTATTTATTTATCAACATAGTTGACAGTGTAAACGTGTTTATATAATTTTATGAGCAATGGAAAATGTAATAATTTTAAAATGTGGAGCTGGCATGTTATTTATTTCGCTGCCAGATATTTTAAAATAGAGAAATATCATAAGACACCAGCTTTATGGTAAAAATTCTATGTTTTATCAAAGAATTCTTTAGATATCTACACCAGCTTTTCCAATAGTCGCCTATTATGAAACATCATCATAAACTCTTAAATTTCTCCTTTTCACGACTGTACAAAAAAAAAAATTAAAAAATAACATTCGTTGAAAATATATTGACATTCTAAAATGCCCAGTTCTTCTCCAATAAGTCCAATACAATATACTTTCACTCTTGTATAGTAAAATCTCTAATTTCAGTATAAATCTCTAAGAGTAAGTGCAAAAAAATGAATTAACTCACTCGCCACTATACTCATCATCATGATGGTGTTTTTATGGGAATTTCTACATCGTTTGTGGTCGACGATTGTCGTTTCTAGTCGGTTAGCGACCTCGAGTGATCACAACAGGTACGTCAGGTAACACCAATAACAGGTCTATGTTGTTAGTCTACCTAGTTACACCTAGTGTTTTTTACTCGTGCCGCTGACGTTTCGAAGTGCGCGTTTTTTGTTTCGGAGTTTCGTATTATTTAGTGACTGTGTATAGTTTTGTGAAAATTTTTTTTCGAACTGTGTGGATGAAATTTTATACTTTACATTTTCTAATATAAATATATAAAGTAAGAACTACAAGTACAATAAGTACATRGATACATAATTTATATTATTTTGAGTGTAGGTATAATGTTAATGTTAAACGTAAGAGCACTTCACTTATGTGACCCATAGTAATTAAAAAACTCCTAAGTTTCGTTWTYACAAGTATTAAATTAAATATGTACGTATAAAGAAAGTACACTTGAGAACCAATTTGGCTTATAGAGTTGGCATAAAAAAGGTCTAACTTGCTTTAATAATAACACACTATTACATTTTTTTTTATGAATAGTAAGTATAGACAAACATATTTTTAATTCTTAAATTTATAGTAATGAATACTAATGCCATTACATTAAGTTGAGTAATTTCGTAATCGCTGAAATTTGATCAACCTTATTTTACAATAGACCAATAAACATATTTTTTGGTATGTTTTATGACTTTATTCATAGAATRCTTGTACGTGTATCAGATATTGATGTAATTATTACTTAAATCAAACAAATATTATTGAAAACAATTGTACTTAAAAAATTTTGTTTCAGATAAYTAAACAGTTATTATAGTATAATTATATGAATTTGGTTTTATTAAAATAATAAGTTAGATTTACATATCTTCCAAAAAATAATACAAGTCTCTCACTTATTCGTTATTCACATCAAATCACAATGACTATAATAAATGCAATTATTTTTTGTGTAAAAAGTATCATTATATTATATCTTATAATCTATTTAAGCAATATTTATTTATTTCTTAAGGGTAGTAATTTTTTTCTCCATTTTAAACACGTAATAATAATGTTATAGCTTCTCTTCATATTTTCATAATTGTGGTTATAGGTATATTGTTGAAATTTAGATATCATAACATTCATAACAATTATAAATATTAACATATTACAATATGTGTTTTGTTGGAAGATTTTTTAATACTAGCTCTTATTTTTTAGAAAGTTATTAAAAATTATAAATAACTAAAAATAAATATAAATTAAATAGATAGGTACTAATTATATTATTGAAAATTAAAAAAAAAAAAATTAAAACAAGTTTCTTATTAACCACAGAAAATATTATTCTATATTTATTATAACATACAATGATATACTTCAATAAAATTTAAATAATTTAATCACGAGAAACAATGGGTGAAAAACAAAGAAAGGTGTTTTCTATAATACTTTTAATTAGTAAAATTGAGTCTTAAAACATAACATTACCTACAGAACATTAATTATTATCTAGTTTTAAAAATGTTGATAACTTAATTCAAATTTGMCCTTTTTTGGCTTAAATTAAAAATGTACAAAGAGTTCAAAGGTACCTATCAAATTTTCAAATAACAAGTAGGTACATGTACTTCTATTAAATGAACATAGTGTAAAACCTTGGGCTACATCATATGTTATTATTGTGTTTTATATTCTTTCYAAGTTTAGTGCTCAAAAAGTCAAAACATCTACTTATATATACCGGGTTAATTTATTTAGATTTACATTGGTAAAGTATCCATAGTACCTAATACTAAGGTGAAATAATGTTGCCTTGGCCTCGATGACGTCAATACTTTGAAAAGATTCATATGATAGTTATATGTTCTGAAATTAAAATTTGATTAAACTAAAAATTAAATTGGTCTATATTTAACATCGATTTATAAAAAATTAACATAAATCTATAAAGTGTGACATATATATTAGGCACATACTTAAACCAAAATTCTTTATGTCTCTGGTTTCTGTAAGAAATACGAATAGTGCTACACAACTTAGTAATAATTTTTATATTATTTTTTATAATAATTCAAAACAGGAATTTTATTGTTAMAATTAGTCAAGAATCATTATGGGTCATGTTAGAAATAGTTCTAGTTTTAAATTAGTTTGTAGTTTTGAAGATATGTCTTCTGATAAAATAGGGTTTAGAGACAAACGATTTATATTATATTTTTACATGTGATAATTAATTATATACAATTCGTTATTTAAGTTCAATAATCTTCGACATACATAAACATYATTTAATGGTCAGTAAACCACTGACCGCAATAATAGGATAGGAAATTCACCGACACGTGACTGAGAATCTTATATATATTTAGAAGCCGTCCATTTCTAGTTTTTAATAACGCTATTTGGAGGGAGTGGATTTCGGATGTTTTGATTATACCTGGTTGCCAAGGAAATGCCATCGATTCTCCCCACACTTACATTACGAGTGTTCATACGGATATCCGGCTTCCTGCCGGTGTACAACTATATATACTATACTAACGGTGTACTCAATATTTTAATAATATTGTCGAACAGATGATATTCTGCTGAAGTAGGGTATAGCTTCCATATTTTACTTTAATTTCTAAATATTAGAAAAAATGATTATTTACACTATTATCCAACTTTTCATTAACTGTACATAAAAAATATTACATTTAATTATGTGTTTTCTATAATAGTAATTAATATTATAAAGCTAAGTTTAATATTATACTTTTTCTCGTGTAACTTTTGGAATTAACTGTTAAATACTCGTAAAAAGAAAACTAGAATAAAGTTAAAAATAAAATCAGACTAAAATAAATAAAATTAAAAAGACAAAAGGAAGGTAATTGTATTAATATATGTATTTTGAATCATTATTATGAATCTAAATATTCAATTATCATTTTCGTATAATATTTAGGTACTATCTATTCATACAAACGCTACTTATTTCTAAAACAACTACTAATTTACTCTTTTCGTTTTAATATTTTATATATACAAAGGTATACTTTATACCTCAAATAAAATGATTGGTATATACACCATGAATGCTGTTTTAACAAACCATACTAATCGCTTTGGATATATGTATAGCCGTATACATATTATCGTTATTATATGATTCAATAAACGTATATAGTATACATTCAATGGTGGAAACGTTAAAGTTGTTCCGGTCTCAGAGCAAATGTTGTTGTTAAAGCGTTCTGTAGTAGTTTAGTAGTAGTTTTTCATATTTCAAAATGGTATATATGTAATATAAATGTATAATGTATTTATGTATATGATATAAACTGGCAGATATATGTATAAAATGATAGAGAGATGGAGAGAAAAATGAATTTGTGAAACCGGTCATTCGAGTTTGCCTTTGGTGCTGTTGTTAACCTCGAATTTCATACGAACAGTCAACAGTGGTGAACAAAACGAGTTTGCCCCGGGAAAAATTACTCGATGGATGTCCGTACATAAGATTATTCGTATACATTTATTACATTATACCTATAAGTATAGTTTCACTTGTTACTAAAGAAATTTGGGAGTCCTGATATTATAGAAATAACGATTAAGAGTATTTATAGGTGTGTATAAAAAAGCCAATGTAAACAAATTCACAAAGAGTAAAAAGTAAAAACAGAAGACAACAAACCCTAAAGCTCTGAGGCTCCGACTAACTTCCGGATTAAATATAAGTATGATTGTTTATTAAGAAATAATTCCCATGAACAGTAGGAACTATTATCGTTTATCTCATAATATAAATTATAATAATCTAAATACCTAATCAATTTTAGTATCTATCAAAATAATTTTCTAAACTCAAAAGTCTATATTCTGTTTTCTGTATCATTCATAGGATACTATTGGCTACTCCAAGATACACCAACTTTTTGAGGGATTCCAAATAGATAATTTAATAATAATAAAATAATAAAATAAATAAAACACGAAATATTGAGTGAAGTTATAACTTTTAATTTTAATTATATTTAAATTTTAAATACTGATTCAAAGTAATTTACAAGTGATTAGAATACACAATGGTATTGCTATTGGTTATTGCGTAATTACAAAACCGTTTAGAAAAAGTGGTTATTATTA